GGAAGGAGAGGAGGGAGGAGCAGGAGGGAGGGAGGGAAGGAAGGAAGGAGAAAGAGAAGGAGAGGAGGAGGAGTGTGTGAGAAAAACTCCACAATGGTAGTTGACTTTTACTCCAAAAACCTCACTTGCCACCTTGCAGATTTTGACACTCCTTCCTGTGGACACCTCTGAAAATAGCTCTTAGCCGCTTTGTCGATAAGAATTCCCCTTCCTTTGAACTTCTTGTAAATGCTCTTCATTTTGTTTGGAATCAGGTGGGGATGGGAAAAAAAACTAACTAAATCAATATATTTCCCAAGGGAAAAATGATCTCTCTGATGTGCAGGAGTATATGAATAAGATTGTCAGTGCAGTACATTTTAATTCACCTTAACCAACACCTCCCCCCCAGCCCCCCAAAAAACGATCTGGCTCGCTTTCCTTTCTTCCCTTTCAATTTCTTTAAATTGTCTCCTGGGTCTTCAGCTCATCTTAAATGGCTTTCTGAACAAGGGCCAGAAAGCAACGCTCCTCTGGTTTCCATGGAAAAAGGTTGGACCTTCTAGGCTTTTGCTCTCGTTTCCTCATGACAAACTTTAGCTGGTTTGATGCTGGCAGGGGATGGTTGGAAAACCGCCTCCCCAGAAGGGAGTTTTTGAAAATGAAAGGTCAGATGGAAAACCTGACCTGATTTTGTTAGAGCATCTACCTACAGACACCATGGGAGGAAGAAACAGGCCTTTGGGGATGTCCTCCTAGCTCAGGGGTGTCAAACTCAACAGAAATTCTGGTCCCAATTGTGGTCATAAGTCGAGGATCTAGCTGTAACCGTGTTAGAATAATTAATTAGTACACATATACATGTCACAGAGAAGAGTGGAGAACACAACCTTTTCTCCAAAGCACTTGAAGGCAGAACAAGAAGCAAAGGATGGAAATTAATTAAGGAAAGAAGCAACCTAGAAATAAGGAAGGATTTCCTAACAGTTAGAACAATTAATCAGTGGAACAACTTGCCTCCAGAAGTTATAAATGCTCCAACACTGGACATTTTTAAGAAGAGATTGGGCAACCATTCATCTGAAGTGGTGTAGGGTTTCTTGCCTAGGCAGGGGGTTGGACTAGAAGACCTCCAAGATCCCTTCCAATTCTGCTATTTGGTTATTTGTGTCACCAAGCTGGACCACAACCTCCAGTACATATTTATCTTTGATATTGGTGAAACAACAACCACAACAAAAAGTTTCAATAGGCTCAAAATATTTATTTTTTTCCCCAGTTGTTATCTCTTACCTTTGAATTTACAACAAAACTGTGTCTATTAAATGCATAATTTCCTAATGTCGTAAGCAGGGGTGGGATTCTACAGGTTTACACCTATTCTCTAGAACCAGCTGTTAACATTCTAAGCAGTTCGGAGAACCAGTTGTTAGAAAAAATTACTGGCCTAATCCTGTAAGGAAGGCAGGAAGGAAACATTCTGGTGTTGCTTACAGAAACTGCCTCTCCATTAACCCTTATTACATTCTTGGCAGGATTAGACTTCCTGTCTCATGAACTTCTCTGGAGATTCTTTCCCCTCCTTTGCTGGTACTTTGCTTGTGTGGAGTGATCCTTCAAAGTTACAATGGCACTGAAAAAAGTGACTTATGACCATTTTTCATACTTACGACTGTTGCAGCATCCTCACAGTCATGAGAGGCCAGGCAAGGAGATGCGTGTGATGTTGAGTTGTCCACACCCAGCCAGTCACATGACCACCAACTAAGCCACACCCACAAACCGGTTGTTAAAAAATTTGAATCCCAACCCTGCTCATAAGTCTGCTTCAGTCATTGTCCACAATTGTGGGTTGTTGTTTTTTTGTGTGTGTGTCTGTGTGTCTTTTGCCTTTTGTTTATGTGCAGGCTTTTCAGTATCCAGAAGAAGAGGGGAGAAGCTTCAGATTAGAATGCACTGACTGCCATCTGTTTGGTGCCATAGATCTGAAAGACTGCAGGACAAAGGAAATTATTTCTACGGGGATTACTTAAATTGTAAGCTGTAGTTTTCTACGGGAAATTTTGGGCGGGGGAGAGAGACCAGTCTTCAAAGGAATTGGCTTTGTATGCCTGACAGCTTTAGAAGTCTGGTACAAAATGGAATTCTGACTCAGGCATCCAATATGCTACACCGGGTATTTTGCAAATGAAAAAACTGCACAATGGATAATGGGGCCAGAAATCCAGTCCTGTATCCAAGTGATACAGATCCCACTGGCTTTCTCCAGAAAGAAAATTCTGAACAGGCAGTCTGACACTGCATTCCCCTCTGTCTTCAAACCATATCCATGTAAATCAATGAAGTCAAGGGGGCACAGATCTGGAATCTGAAAGGCAAACTAGGTTCAAAAGTGGTGTGTAAGGACCACTAAGTGAAGAAGACTCTGTATTCCAACAACAGATTTAGCAGGGAGGGAGGAGGTGGGAAGATGAGAATATCAATCCTAATCTAATCTAATCTAATCTAATCTAATCTAATCCTACCCTACCCTACTCTACCTTACCCTATTATTTCTCTCTCTCTCTCATCCCTATCCTACCCTACCCTACCCTATCATTCATCCATCTATATCTATCATCTCTCTCTCTCTCTCTCCCCCTCCCTCCCTCCCTCTCTCCCTCTGTCTCTCAACCCTACCTTACCCTACCCTAAATTCTCTGTACCGCAACTTAAGATATGAACTATTATTGGTCAACTAAAGTTCAGTACTAAATTGGCACCAGATAAGGGTCAATGGAATTCAGAAGGGGTTGAACTTGGATCTCTTGTGGCAACATTAGGACTGTAAACTGACAACACATTTAACTCCCCAGTTCTGTCTTTTTCTTGCAACTATACAATTGCTATTTTAGCGTGAATGCAGACCCATCCAGAGTGAGCGGCTCACTTAATTTCTAAGACTGAGGAACTGTCAGTTCTCACGCCTCCAATTTACTAAGATTCAATTTCAGTTGACTGCCCCTTAAACGTTCTAATTTCTGCCTCCAAGTGACGCTTTTGTGTTTGACAAAAAAAAACATAACAATGCAGCCACACTACAGAATGAATTTGTATAAAACCCAGGAAGAGAAAAAAAGAGACTGAATAGCTTGTGTGTGTGTGTGTGTGTGTGTGTGTGTGTGTGTGTGTGTTCCTTGGGAGGGTGAGATTGGGTTGCTGCAATTTCCATGGTTTATTGATTTTTAGTGTTTATTTCTTTATGCTTTTATGTGGATTGATCCCTCCACTCCAGAGCAAACAGAAACATAAAATTAAATGTATTAAAATTAAGCATGCATACATGTGCGTGGACACACACACATACACAACACACACACACGCACACACACAAATAATTATCAGAGTAAAGTCAGCTATCCCAGGTTTTATTTCCCCAAGTTTAGAATAAGTCAGTCCATTTCTGCAAAACATTCAGTTACAGTCCAGTTTCTCCCAGGCCAGTCTCTGAATTGGTCTGGCATCTGAACAACTGATCTTGTGGTATAAGCCAGTGGTCCCCAACCTTTTTTGTGCCGCGGCCCAGTACCGGCATCACAAAATCATCCGCGGCCCGGTACCGGCATCAGCACGCATGGCAAGGCGAGCCGAGTGACCGGCCAGCCAGCCATCCCCTGCTTCTCCCTGCCACCTTCAACTTCTCCTTTGTACCTGTGTCAATGGGCTTCGCGATGGCTTCGGGACGGTCGCTCAGCTCGCCTTGCCATGCGTGCTGAAAGAATCCTCGCACCTTAGTTTTGTTCGAAACCACCACCACCCTCGATTAAACTAAGGCGTGAGGATTCTTTCAGTACCCAAATGCCGCTTTCTAACCAGAAAAACTCACCGGAAGCACTTTTTCATCAAAACAAGATGGCGGCACCCAGCAAACCGGCGGCCCGGTAGAAATTGTTCCACGGACCGGTACCGGTCTGGGGACCGGTGGTTGGGGACCCCTGGTATAAGCCTTTCCAAATTTATTTATAGGCAGTCCTCATTTAATAAGTGCATTTGGGACCAAGCAACTCCCTCCCTATATGATGTGGTCATTAAGTGAAACATCATGTGACCACATCTGCTTTATAACTTCAGTTCCACTGCAGACATCAAGGAAATCCTGCGTGGTTGTTAAATATGACATCTAATATATACAATTTGCAATTTCCCATTGACTTTGATTTTGTTAATGTTTCAGGTGGCAATCCGGTGACCATAGGATGCTGAAACCATCATTAATGCAAGCTGGTTGCCAAACATCCAAATTTATAACCAGGGCATTGCTACAATTGTCATAAGCAAAGGAGGTGGGAGCCCAGATGGATGCCTTTTTTGTGGTGACCCCTATATTATGGAATACATGTCTATGGATATTCTCAGTCATGGTTATCTCAAAGGTGATTTTTCAAAGGACAACTGGTTTTTCTTTGAAGATGTTTTGTTTCTCATCCAAGAAGATTCTTCAGCTTCACCTTGCTTGCATTTTGCAAAACTGTGAGGAATATCTCATTCCAATGGGCTTTGGTGCAAATGACGGATAAACTTAATTGATTAGATTAAAATTTACAGATTTACAAATTAACAGAATTGGAAAGGACCTTGTAGAATCTAGATGTAGATCATTTAGTCCACCCACCCCTGCCTAAGCAGGAGACCATACACCATTTCTGACAAATGGCAGTCCAATCTCTTCTTGAAAGTCTCAAGTGATGGCACTCCCACAACTTCCGAGGGCAACTTCTGTTCCATTGGTTGATTGTTCTCCCTGTCAGAAAGTTTCTCCTTATTTCCAGGTTAAATCTCTCCTTGTTCAGTTTCCATCCATTATTCCTTGTCTGGCCTTCGGGTGCCTTGGAAAACAGCTTGACCCCTTCCTCTCTGTGGCAGCCCCTCAAATATTGGAAGACTGCTATCATGTCTCCCCTGGCCTTTCTCTTCACTAGACTAACCACCCCCAGTTCCTGTAACTGTTCTTCATATGTTTTATTCTTCAGTCCCCTAATCATCCTGGTTGCTCTTCTCTGCACTTTTTCTAGAGTCTCAATGTCTTTTTTATAGTGTGGTGACCAAAACTGGATACAGTATTCTAAGTGTGGTCTTACTAAGGCTTTATAGAGTGGTATTAGTACCTCACTTGATCTTGACTGTATCCCTCTGTTAATGCAACTTAAAGTTGCATTGGCTTTTTGGGCTGCCGTTGCACACTGTTGGTACATATTTAGCTGGTTGTCCACTAAGACTCCAAGATCCCTCTCACAGTTACTGCTATTAAGCCTGGTTTCACCCAGTCTATATGTGTACATAATTTGTATTATGCTAAACGGCATTGTGATGTTTTTATTTTTCTTAGGAAGGGGTCAGTTTTGCCAATAATGTATACTTTGATGGTCTGAAGTCACAAGCCATTGACTCCTAATCTAAATATTCTAAGCTTTAAAAATAAAAGCTGAGATTCTCTTAGGGATTAATACTTGACATCTTCTATTAGCCAGCAGCCAGAGGTCAGAAAGTTCTTGCCCTTCTCCTCTGAAAGTTTATTTTTCCCCTCATCTCTGAAATTCACTACAGTCAGAGAAATTTCAGACACGTCTTATTAACCAGCAGTTCAGCAAAATCTCTTGAGTCTTCCAGCCTCCCCATGTATAATTGGTCTTATATAAATGGAAATATGCTATTTCATCTCACTGGGAAAAAAATGAGAAAACAAATAAATGTTTTACCTCAAGAAATATGGGCCTTTTCCCCCACTGTACGGACAACACATTGATTTCCAGTGTACCCATCTATATTCGGATCCTTGGAAGAACAGCTATTACTGCTCAATTACTTTGCTTCATTAACTGAGTAAGAACTTGTATAAATATTACAAGTCTCTGGATAAAAGAAGAAAAAGAGAAGAAGGGGAAACAAAAGAGAAAGAAACTAAGAGGAATAGCTGGTGAATAATTAGAGGAGAGCAAATTTCCCTTGTTTAATTCCTTGATGCCTTGACCTGCATTCTAGAGCTACAGAACTCCAGTTTTTAAATTAGTAATGCTTCAGGAGTTTGGTATCTGAAAAAAAATCTCATACGGTACTTGTATCAGGGTCCATAATAGCATTACACTAAATTTCTGTATTGCAACTACAGTGCACATCACAC